CAGTATGAACATGAAAAGAGAAGATGTAGAAGGGATGAAGATAAATGCAACAAAGGGCACATATTCAGGAATCTAAGGAATTCCTATCAATAAAAAAAAATAAAGACAAACTAGTAGAAAAACAGAGAACTGGACAAGGGCTTTCACAAAAGAAGGTATTCAAGTAGCAATAAACATAAAAGGTGCTCAGCCTCCCTAGTCATCAGGGAAATAGAGATTAAAACCGAATTCAATACCACCATGATGGCTAGTATGGCTGTGGAATTCCGTGCCCAGTGTGTACCTAACAAATGCATGTGCGTGCACTGAGCCTTGTGTGCAAATGTTCACGTATGCATTCTTTATAATGGCCAAGATGTGAGGGCCACGTAAACGTCCATTAAATATAGAACGAATAAGCAAATTATGGTATGTTTACACAACAGAATACTATACATCCACAAAAAATGCACTAAGTGTAACTGTGTGGTGGACTCTTCAAGCAAAATGTTGTAAAATAGGAAATAAAAGTATATATAGCATACTTCTTATATAAAATTCAAAAGCTGAATTATAGTGACTGAAGTCAGTAGAGTGAGGAGGGAAAGGCCAGTGCTTGGGAGTTGATACAAGGAGACTTTCTGAAGACATTTTGATTTTTAACCTGAATGACAATTACTCTGTAATTCACTGAACTGCTTTGTGTACTTTTCTATATGTATGTTATTTATCACAGTAAGAAGTTTACATGGGATAAAAAGGCCAAAGACTAAGCAAGATTCATAATACCAATTTAAAACGATATGTGAGTTAAATCAAGGACCTTAGGATATTAGAAATGTAGACCCAAGATTATGCATGAGGCGGAGAAATAAAAAACCTGGAGAAGTGAATTTAGTTTAATAGTAGGTGTGCTGTGTCAATTCTCAATGGCCCAAGCAGCCTTGAGTAACCATGCTTAAAGAAAAGCAACACTTTACATCTCAAATTATTTGTTTCATTCTGTAGTGTATACAAAGCCAGAGAGCAGTATGGCACATTTTCCTACAATGTTGACTTTATGTAAAGATTTGAAGAAATTTTTTTATATTAAAACCAGATATATCATGGAGACTATAAAGCATATTACAAAGGAATTTTATGTTCACAACAGGCTGCTTCCATTTATTTCCTTAAAGCCCTGCTTTTTGGACTTCTGGCTCCTCTATTTTTAAGAATTCTTTAGTTGAAATTTTTAGGTACAACATAACTAATACCTGAAATGCAGTACTTGAACCTGCAATAGAAATGAACTCTATGAGATCTGAATTCTGGCTTTTACTGTTGGTAGTAGGGGTATAAGGAGCCAGGCAGAGGGGGTAAAGAAAAAAAGGGTGGGGGAAGGTAGGGAGAATTAAAATTATGAGGAAGAGGCCAGGGAATGTAATGCATATATATAGAGTGGTTTTTCTTCATTTGTTCTCTTCGTTCCAAGGGTGAAGGAAGGAAGGGGAAGGGTCTGTCTCATGGCTGTCATAGGAAGGCCGTGTCTGGGCCCTGCCACTCCACATGCCTGGCTGACCCTTCAGAAGGCCCCGGGGCAGTGGTGAGCGGCGGACACAGAACCTCTGGGGTGACTGAGTCTGAAAATTGATAAGGAGAAGTTAGTTTTTCTCTCTAGCCCCCTGTCAGCTCCTGAGTCTCCTCTGTCGTCACCATTGTCATTGTCAGTGACATTGTCATTGCTAGCATTTCCATAGTGCCAAGCCTGTTGTAAACTTTCCCAGGTGGGGTAACAGAGGTTCAGTGATTGCTTAGGGACACGTGGCTATTGTGTCTTATTCCTGATTTTAGGAGGAAAGCAGTTTTTCAAGTATGATGTGAACTGTACATTTTTTATTGCTGTAGCTACCCTTTATCAGATTAAGTTCCTTTACATTCTTAGTTTGTTGATGGTTTTTATCAGGAATAGACAATAGATTTTAGCTAGTGCTTTTTCTGCAGGTATTGAGATGATCACATTGTGGGTGTGTTTTTTTCATTCTGTTAATGTGGTGAATTACATTAAAATTTTAATGTGATGCTAAGCCAACCTTGCATTCCTGAGATAAACCTCAGTAGATAAACCTCAGTAGGTTATGATGTATTAATCTTTTTCTACATTGGATTTCATTTGCTCAGAACTTCTGCATCTCTGTTTCTGAGTGATACTAGTCTGTGGTTTCCATCTACTTCTCTGTCCCTCCTCTGCCAACTTCAGTTACGAGTGTGTTAGATTGATGCTGTCCTTCAGCTCACTGTTTCCTTACTCAGCCTTTTTTTTCTCTGTGTTTCATATCGGATACTTTCTGTTGCTGGGTCTTCAAATTTACTAATCTTTTGATCCATAATGTCTAATTTGCTCTTAATCCCACTCAGTATGTTTTTCATCTCAAACATTGTATTTTCCATCTTCAGCAGTGGACTTGGGTCTTTTTTAATATCTTTCATATCTCTGTATAAAATGCTTGATCTTTATCTTCTTTAAAAAGTATAGTTATAACAGTATTTTTGATATCCTTGTCTACTAATTCTAGTATCTGTATTGTATCATTTCTGGGGTCTATTTTTATTGATTAGTTTCTCTCCTTATTGTGGGTCATATTTTTCTGTTTCTTTGCATGCCTGCTAATTTCTTTATTGAACACTAAACATTGTGAGTTTTACTTGACCTGATGTTAGATCTTTTGTATTCATACAAATATTCTTGAGCTTTGTTTTGGGTGCAGTTAGCGTGCTTGGAGATACATCTCTTAGAGGCTTAGTTTTCAGCTTTTAGGCAGAACCAGAACAGTCTTATCCAACTGATCTATAAAATTAAGTTAATCTAGAGTGAAATTTTATTCTATTTGTTAATTTTATTGGCCTTTTCTTGGCATTCGACGTATTCATGTTATTTTGAAATTTTAGAGTGCAAGCTAAGTTTTAGTGGAAGTTTTCCCCCTCCCTTTATTCTTCTCCTTGCTTTTTAACCATTTTATAATTGCCTCCATTCAGATTCCTAGACAACCCCATGCTCCCTAGTCAAGGACCAGGGCTTATAGTGGCAATTCTATCCCATATTGATATTGGCCTAATCTAGCTCCTGGATTCAAGTCCTAAACCTGGCTTTGGCCCTTGTCTTAAGTGGACAACTGTAAGGCCCTCTTACTATGTGAAGGCTTGGTTGCCACTGCCTGCTGCAGACTCAGTACCCATCAAATTGTAATGTAAGCCTTACATGTTACTTTATATGTTTTACCCTTATCAGATTCATAAAGATATCTTTATGCCCAGCTGTGTCTCTTCTTTCCAACATTTTATTATTAAAATTTTCAAACATACATACAATGAAAGAATTATACAGTACACACACGTGCCCATCACTTAGGTTCTATATGAACATTTTGCTGTAACGTCTCTGTTACGTGTCTGTCCTGACCACCCCAATCCTCTCAGCCACCCCTGAGTCCATCTTTCTCGTTGATCACTTCAAAGTAACTTGAACTCTTTACCCAAAGGCACTGCATAAAGTTCAGTGTTTGTTTCTGTTTGTAGTTTTTTCTTTTGAAGTAATATTTATATACAGTGTAATGTACAAATTTTAAGTGTTATCCAGCACGTCACCTGTACAACTCAAACCCTACCAGGACGTGGAATATTACCATCACCACAGAAAGTTTCCATGTGCCCCTTGCCACGTGGACTACACCCTGGAAGCCACCATTGTTCTGCGTTTTATTTCTACCATGGACGGCTTTTGCCTGCTCTCAAATTTCATATGGTGGAACCATAGCCTGTGCCCATTTGCGCCAGGTTTCCCCTACACAGCTCGTTGCTCTTGAGATTTATCTGTGTGGTCAGAGCAGTAATTGATTCCTTTTCATTGCCGAGTTCTTCTGTTCCTTTTTTTAAATACAGTTTGTTTACTCATTTTGGGGCGTCTTTTTTTTAATTTAAGATTTTATTTAAAGAGAGGGGAAGGGCGGGAGAAAGAAAGGGAGAGAAACATGGACGTGAGAAACATCTGTTGGTTGCCTCACTTGTGCCCCAGCCGGGGACCAGGCCCATAACCGCAACGTGTGCCCTGACCAGGAATCGAATCTGCGACTTTTGTTTTGTGGGAGGACGTCCAACCAAATGAGAGCCATGCCAGCCAGGGCTCAGTGGGGACTTTTTTGATTTCTCTTTTTATTTTTATCTCTCTCTACTAAGTGTTTGGAGAGAAAGAGTGCATCCAAGTACGAACCTAACTTTAACCTAAAGTCCCTTGGGTAAACTGATATGTATTTATTTTCAGTTACTTTATTTACATTGAATAAACTTAGCTGCTTTTTTATTTTATAAGGAATTGAATTTAGTGAGCCCTAGCCAGGTAGCTCAGTTGGTAGAGCATTGTCCCGATACCCGGTCGGGGCACATAAAAGAGTCAGCCATTTAGTGCATAAATAAGTGGGGCAACAAACTGATGTTTCTCTCTCCCCATCTCTAAAAGTCAAAAAATAAATTTTTAAAAAAGAACTGAATTTAGTCCCTTTTATTTTCCTCTTAAGTCTGTGCAGTATGTATTATTACATGTTTACATGAAATTTAAAAAGAGAAATGCAGTATAAATAAAGAGATTTATTTGGTGTTTAAAAGTTCTCTTATTCTACAAATGGTATCAAATGGTCTGCATACTAAATATATATTTTTCATATCTATCATAACAATTTAATAATTCTGTCATGTTTTGCTGTTACGTTAGGTACAGTTTATAACCCACATACTCCTCTGTGTTAGCAGTAGAACTGTGTTGCAAGAGTATATTGATTCAGCCAGTTGACAGTATATTTTGATTCTGTGGGAACTCTAATCTCTCTTATTTCCAGATTAATTCTTTAATATAATGTAAATTGAGTAACTTAATCTCCTTTTCTGATACTTACATTAAAAGGGTTAACTAATGAGGCATACATTCTACATATAACAAAGCTTCAGCATTTGTTAAGATTGTGTGTTAATTTATTTTTACCTTTCTCCAGGTTTGGTTGGGATGTTCCAGTAATTCTGAGAAATTCAGAAGAGACCCAGTTCAACGCAAGAGTTTTCAAAAAGCAGATGAGACAAGTCAAGAATCCTTTTGGCTTAGAGATCTCTAATCCCTCTTCAGCTTCAATTACAAGTTGGTAGCTGTTTTCCAAAGATTTTTCTCTCTTTCTCTGTCCCCTTTTTAGCCTTTCGTTTTCTTTCTCTTCATTAGACTTAACAAACATTTAATGAGCAGCTGTTTTGCCCAGGAGCTGTACTAAATGCTCACATACAAAGATTAATAACTCACAAACCTTGCTCCCAAGGAATTTTATCAACTAGCAAGCAAAGGCATTTGAGGAAAATAAAGTATCTCGGGTGTTCATAAGCGAAGTCTGTTAACACACTGAGCCATTTCCATTGGTCGTCAGTGTAAGAATGTTGTAGTGTAAATACAGTTAATGTGAGGTTGCTAAACTCCTGAACAGTGTCTTATAATCTGAAATGACAGTATTTTGGTATAAAATTGTCTTGGTAGATGGTAATAATAGATGGTGGTTGTTTGTTTCTGTACTGGGAAAAAATTGTTTGCGAAACTATCTAGGAACCTGTGGAGTGAAAGAGAAGGGGGCTGTTGGGAACAGGTAAGATAGAAGAGTCGAGGAAGACTCGGCTTATTTGCTCGGGTCCTTCCTAGGCAGGTCCTTTTACTGGGGTGAGGCATGTAGGGGGAGCAGCAGGTTTTGGGGAAAAGGTGATGAATTCAGTTTTGAGCTTTTGGACTTATAAATGCTTTTGTGACAGTTCAGTAAAGGTACAGCATCGGTAGTCTTAGATTTAGTTTTGTAGCTCTAAGTTTTCTTGGCTGAGACTCTATCACCTTTTACACTCACTCACATTTCTGGTGTTTAAAAACAAACAACCCCAAACTTTCTCAGCTTTTCATCTTATATTAGCCTTGTATTTTGGCTTATTTACCCAGGTAAAAGCTAACATAAACAAATGAGTTAAGCAGAATGCCACACCACATTTTCGGAGGAATTTGAGCCTGTATTCATTACAATTTAAGATTTTCATTTCCAGATATTCCGGTTTTATTCTCCTTGTGCATGGTCTCTTTGTATATTACTTCTTCGCTTACAGAGATTTTTTTATAAGAAGGTTTGTGGCTTTTCTGCCTCATTGTGGCTCAACTGCCTCATTATGTGGCCATAATGGCTCAACTCATTTGATGATAGTCCCGATTTTTTTCAGTTTTTTGAAAGGCTGTCTCTTACACCGTTTGTTACACTTTGTTTGGTATTACAGGTAAGCAGTTAAGGGCAGGTTGACAGAAATCACACCCAGGCTGCTTCACTTCATTTGAATTCTGAATTTCTTGGATTATGTTTATATTCCAGTTCTGTTCATGTTATTGATCTAAGATGTCATTACATATGCGTTGAATTTTATAAGACTAAGAAAATATAAGAATGGGAATTGAGTGTAAGGATCTTTGAAGAAAAGTGATAAAAACTCAAGAGAGAATCGTTTTGCTTAGGGGTACTTGAACTGTTATCAGTTAGTGTAAATCAATATATTCTTAGTCTGTAACAGAATTTTATGAAAGATTGTGAAGAGCAGAGTTTTATAGATTCTTTAGTTTTTTTCATTTGCTTATTAATATCAGAGACATTATATGAAATCTGATCCATGTCCAGTTATCAGTAGTCACTGATGCTCCCCATTTTAGTCAAGTATCCAAAGTCCGAAAACAAGTTTTGTTTAGCTCCGAATCTCTGGAACTCTGACTCTTTTCACAAAGCAGATGAACTGGTAGTTATGTATGTTTTGTAAGTGTTTTTTTTTTAGGCTTATCCTTCCATTGTTCTTTTTTAGTGTAAACAAACACATATATTTGGATACAATCTCCTGCGAGAGAAATGGTAGCATGCCATGGACAGGGTGAGGCAAAAAGCAGGTTAACGGTCGTTCGCATGGAAAAGAATACAGTAATAACAATACAAGAATCAACTCCGTTTTGCATCTCACGGTTGTAAACCCACCCTGTATACTTTTCTACACTTTGCATTTTTCATTTAAGGTATATTCTGAAGTGTAGTACTATACATAGTTATTACTGTGTGCCTCAGTGTTTTTTAAGAGCTTCATAGTACTTTTCATTGGAGAGTATTGCATATTTTATTAAGTTAGTCCCCTGTGGATGGACGTTTAGGTGTGGAGTCCAGCATTTTGATATAACTAGTGCTGCAATGAATAGCCTAATACATATTTTTGTCACTAATGTAGTAATATTAAGTGATCATTTTCTGGGTTCATTTTTTCTTTTTCCACTTCTTTTGTACACTTTAAACTATTTCCCCTTTCCCATTGACTTCCAGGGTGGTTTTTTTTTTTTTTTTTGCTTCATGTTGTGTGGTTCTAAAGTGAAGTAGAGAGTTTGTGTGATTTTCAATATATATATTTTTAATTTGTATTAATGAATTGTTTTTCTTCACCTATTTAACAGCTAATTGAAAAAAATACCATATGAATTCTTTATTCTTGAATTAATACCTTTTCATTGTAGTCATAAAAATGTGAAATCAAGTTTTGTGTCAATTGTGTGTGTGAAGTTCCTGTCGATTAAAATGTTTGCTGAACTATGATGAGCAAGTGCTCTGTGTCACTCTGATGGTACATGCTCAGAATCTGAGCATTCGGACGTAGTACAGTATTTGGGATCCTCTGGAGCCTCTGGTCGTGTTTTTGTATCTCCTTCCAACACATTTTCTTGATCACCTTTGAAAAAATAGGTAGTGTATTAATCAGATATCGATTAGCAAGAAATATAAAGGATGCCAATAAAGGGATATTGAATAGCTTACAGACTTGCCAGTAGGTTTGGAAAGCCAGAATCAGAAATGAAGGCTGTTCAGCCAGGAACAGTTGTCACTGGAAAGGGACTGGGACCGAGGTGGGTCTGCGCTGGCAACAGTCTGAAATGTGCGGGTTCTCGACTTTGCGTAGGGAATATTTCAGGATCTGAGTGCAGGTGATTTGGGGAGTATGTTTATTAGGGCCGGGCGCAGTGAGACAAAGGAAAGGCTGCAGACGGAAGAGCCAAGTTCACGGCCACGGGAGGAGCCCACGCTGGCTGCCTAAACTCAGGAAAGGGAGTCACAGTAGGCCACACTGGGCTGTGTAGACTCGGGAAACAAGGTACTCGAACGGAAGTGAACTGTATAGGGTTGCATGGACTCAGGAAGGGAGTCACAGAGGCAAAAGGGGGCCCCTTGGAGACAGGTTCAGGGGGTTGACCCAGGACGAGTCACCACTGCCTGCTGCTCCACTGGGTGCAAGTCTCCTAGGAATCTTGCAAGCTCAGGAGAAAGAGTAAAAGCAGAAGCCTGAGGAAAGGTGGGCGTGTGCGTGCTCAAGCAAGAGCACATACTGCGTTCTCTGTCTTAGGGTTTTTACCTGTATTCTAAAGGTGGGGATTTTAGGGAAAGTCTCAGGAGACAGTCTCAACAGAATACTCAGCAGCTTTCCCGGTGCATGCTTTAATATGCTGATGCATCAAAATGAGCGTCTAGGGGAGTTGAGGATCATTCTCTGGTCAGCTGCACTGCGTTACTTTTATCTCAGATTTGTCTGCCTTTAATTGGATTTTCTATCATTCATCCTTCCGACTTTATCTACTCTGGGGTGTGGCCAGCACTAATAGCAGCAACCCGGTCTCCGTCCTCGCTCTTCCTGACTAGGGTGGTTTAAGCTACTCTGTTCCTAAATGTCTGTGGTTAGGGAAGATAAGATCATGTGATTTATTAGCAGGCTGTTAATTGCTTGACCTTGTTTAGCTATCTTAGTTTCCCGAATTTCACTGGGAAGGAATTTTCCTGGCTTCTCACTGTCCTGCCTCACAAAGACCAAACACCTTTACTTTTGGTTTTGCGAGCACAGCACTGTGGCTGAGCACTGGATGTTGCAGCTTGCACTGCCAGCAGTATGGGACCCTGGGTGTCTCTACCCTTGAGCTTGATATGCCGCAACTGCCCAAACAAGGGAAAAGTCACATAGGTGGCTCATGATACAGCCTAATTAAGCTGTAAATAAATAGGTAGAACTAGATAATGTAATTTGTCTACTTATGATGTATGTGTTCTCTTAGTCAGCTGTACTCAAATTGTAATGTTTTACTACTCTGAAAGCAAACATGAGTGAAGACATCACTACTAAACCCTGCATGTCTTGGAGTCCCCACTCTTTCCTCAGGATATTTTGCGTATTACATGGGACATTAACTGTGTGACAACAGTGTACATTGAAGTTGTCAAGAATGTATATTAATGTTGTCAGTGAGTATATTAATATTAGTAAACTTCAGGTTCTTTTAAATATTTTTTCCTGTTCTAGTGATCATCGTGTGGACCAGTGGGTGGTACGTGTCCACTTCAGAGACAGCTCTTCTCTGCTTTCCAATGACAGGATTGTGGGTATTTACTTTTGGAAACATCTCTACTGTTTGCTGCAGTTAGGATTGTAGACCTATCAGAGTGGCAGGTGAACAGTAGTGAACTGTATTTCAGTTTTTAAACTCTATGTGGGAAAAGCGTTGAAGTCAATCATTTCCAAACATAAATGTTTCCAATCATTTCCAAACATAATAAAGTTTACTGGTAGTGCTTCAAAATTGTGTAGACATTAAAATTTTTGTATATCCTGTTTTAGAGACAGTTCCTTCATTTATAAGCACATGCCCTTCAATGAGCTCCTTTCACCGCCGGCAGCCTGGCCAGCATCCAGAGAGAAGCTTTTGCTGCTCACTGTGTATAATTCTATTAGAAATTACATTAATGCTCTTCTCGTTGTCTTCTTGCTTGTTTTCTACAGCTGGCATCACCTTGGCAACAGACTGCCTAGAAGACAGCCTCCTCACATGCTACTGGGGGTGCAGTGTTCAAAAGTTATACGAGGCTCTGCAGAAGCACATTTATTGCTTCCAAATAAGCACTCCCCAGGCACTGGAAGATGCTCTGTATAGCGAGTATCTCTATCAAGAACAGTATTTGTATCCTTTTGTCTTCTGTCCGTTAGCACATGAAAATTGTGGACGTTGGACTTTTTATGGATAAAACAAAGTCTCACTAAGTTACTGTTCATCACCTTTGCTATATTATTGTATTTCTGGGTATAGTGACAATTTACCTTTACATTTTCAAAAAGTATTAAAAAGGACAGCAAAGAAGAAATATATTGCCAGTTACCAAAAGATACCAAAATCGAGGACTTCGGCACAGTGCCCAGGTCTCGCTATCCGCTGGTAGCGCTGTTGACCTTTGCTGATGAGGATGACCGAGACGTTTATGATATTGTAAGTCATTTTCAAGTTTTGGAAGCATTACTGTTGCGTGATTTAGATAATGGTTTTTAATTATTTGGTGCTATAGAAAAAGTTTTAATTTCCGAAGATGTACATTTGGCTTGGACACATTTTTCTTAAAAGATGTCGACCTGGGAAGTATACCTATATGATTTTTATACATGTAACAGCTCCTTCAGAGTCAATGACTTCTTTCCATATGGGTTATTAGAATATTTAGAAAATAAAAGCTATATTATACAGGGGTGGTCAGAAGTAGGTTTACAGTTGTAGTACAAATAACTAATACATTAGTTAATAATACAAGTATAAACTCTGTTTTCATGTACTCACAACTAGCATATCCTAGCTTTGCCTACCTCTGTATTTGAATTAAGTGAAAGTCATCTATCACGTTTGCTATGTAAAACAGTCTGTTGGGAAGCATTTTTATCTTTAACATTTTAAACATTTTTAGCCCTGAATACATGAGCATTGGAGGACGGTGGGCAGAAAGCATTTTAAGTCAGTGTCCACTCATTCCTTTGCACGTCACAGTCATCTTGCTTCCCTCACGGTTTCCACTGCACCTGCCTCTTACATCCGTTTGGTCCCTGTGTTTTCAGTAATTACAGTGATAATTATTTTTCTCATTATAAGCTAATTATTTCTTTAGTCTGGTAGTTGGTCCATATTAGGAAGATAAAAGCATCTTAGAGATTTAAGAGGACCTGAGCCCTGACAATCCTCTAAGCATGGTAGAAGCTTATCCATGAAATAAACTTCTGGTGAAATCCTGTCATGGCAAGAATGCCCTTGTACACAATTTACTACTTTTGCGAAGTACATGATATAGATTTGTTTACTAATAAAGATATGGTAACATCTTGATGATACTTGTAACATACAAAGTGCATTCACTAACATTAACTTGTTTGTCCCTTCCAATCACCTTGTGTATTAAAGCAAATATCCTTCTGACAAAGACTGAAACAGAGTATGAAGAAAGAAATCTCAGTCATTCAGGAAATAAGAGATGGGCTCGACCATGAACCTGTGTAGTTCTGTGCCATTACCCCCAGCCCTTTTTTTAAAAATAGGAACATCTCCCCGAAAGCAAGCACGCACTGAGTTTTAGAAGGTGTAGACCCTTACTAGGAAATCTGGACCCTGCTCATATGCAGTTACGTCGATCTAGCTTTGGGGGGTTTTAATCTTATCAAGTTGAAGTTCTATTGAGCTGAAATCAGCTCCCCACTCCAATAAAAGACATACCAACAGCATGTGTTTTCAGAATCTAGCACAGTGCCTGAAACACAGTAGATACTCAATAAACTTAATTGGTGTGAAAAAAAATCATACAGGCAAAGTTAGTGAGCCTCCCAGAGCCTGACAGCAAAACTCCTTGGCTGCAGGTGCTTGAGGAAGTGCAGAGAGATCTTCTGGCTCCTCCCCCACCTCCATTGTCAACTGAAGAGAAGTAAGACCTCTAAGTTGGTGTTTCATACCCTGCCACCCTGGACAAGGCAGCCCTTCCCTCACCACTGTGTTCCCCACCTCTTCTGAGCTCCCCTACTTCTCTCTCATTCCAAACAAAAAGGGTCCACTCTCAGTCACCTTCCTCCCAGCTTCCCCTTTTGGTCCCTCTTCCCCTCACTGGGCTGGTGCTTTCTTTCTAACTGAGGTACTGATGGTCTTTGTTTTCTAACTTGGCTTCCTCCATCTAAACAGAAGGATCTGGTGTGTGCATAGTAACATATATATAACATGAAATGTACCATTTTAACCACTTTCCAGTGTATATAATTCAGTGGCATTATAAATAGGGAAAGCATTGCTTACTAGGTCCTGGATCCAGCTGGAATGGAGAGCCCAGGGCCCTGCTGTAGATGTGAGGGGGGTGCTCCCCCAGGGGAGCCCGGTCCCTGGCTCCCAAGCGTTGAGTCATTTGCTTTGTCTGAGTCTCGGTCCTTCTCTGTGTCTTCTGTGGACAGGCGTGCCCCCCGTATTTTTCCTGTTGAATCTTGTTTCTCCATCTGTTATCTCAGATTAGGACTAAACATCAGAACTAAAGCATAATTGTTAGTGTATTTTATAATAATGTTCTCTGCTCATAATTTTAAAAGCAAACTGAGCATTTCATATTTCCTTTTCATAAGTAGTTTTTCAGTATTTTATCTGGGAGTCAGAGACTAAATCTAAAAAAAAACCTCTCCCATTCCTACTGTAACAGTAAAAAGTTACCTTTAAACAGTGCAGATAAAAACTAGTTTGTCATCATAGGTAGGTGAAGGAAAGCGGGGATTGTTGCTACAAGGTTTTGACTTGAAATATTTTTTTATTTTTACATAATTACACTAGTTTGTTTTCTGTAATTACTCAAACAACGCATGTTTATGGCAGCAATAATGTTAAAAACTCTAGATAAGCCACACAGAAATAAGTATAATCACGTTTATCCCATCATCCAAAGCTAACCACTGTGAATATTTGTCTGTATCTTTCCAGGCCTTTATACATGTACTAGTTAAACAGAAATGGGATCAACTTAGGACACACACTATTTTGTGACCCACTTCATTTAGTGTTAGATTATTAACATCTTCTCCATATTAAATATGTACCTACAAGTACATGTATATTTTAACTAGCATTATAGTAGCTTCAAAGTCTTTTACCATTGAATCAAATGACAAGATTGTTAGTATGAGGTGATAACATTACTATCTTTTATCAATTGGTAATACAGAATTGATTTAGTATTAAAAGCCTTTGAAGCCGCTGCCAAATTAATAAATCCTTATAAAGCTGTAAAGAACATTGTATGTTTATAAGTATAGTAGAGTTTTTTAAAAATCTTTTTATTTGGACATAATAAAAAGACTTGCAAAAACTTGCAAAAATAAAAAAAGAACACGCATACATCCTTTACCTAGATCCCTGTAGTTAACTGTTAACATTGCACATTTTCATTATTTGCCACATAGGTAGGTAGTATGTATGTGTATAGATATGTTTTTAATGAATGACTTGAATGTAAGTTGTACGTATGATGATTTTTACTCCTAAATATTTCAGTGTGTAGTTCTTAAAAATAGGGACGTTCTCTTACATAATCACAGTATAATGATCAACTTTATAAATCTAACACTGATATTTTATTTTATGCAATCTTTACCTGTGTTCCAGTGTATTAGTTGATCTGACAGTAGTCTTCACAATGTCACCTCCAGCACAGATTCTGGGCCAGACATGGCGTTTGTCATGTGTCATTAGCCTCCTTTCATCTGGAATACATCCTTAGCTCCTCCTAGTCTTTTAGGACCGTAGCATTTTTTGAAGAGTACAGTCACGCACACACATCCTGTGCGTAAAATGGAACACTTCTCACTTTGTTTAGCCGACGGTTCCTCACGATCACGTTGGAGCCCTGCGTGTTCAGCCAGTATTGGCACAGGTGATGGCACAGGTGACGACACAGGCTCACAGGCCGTCACCTTGAGAGGCAGGCGAGGTTCGTTTCTGTCACTGGTGACTCGGAGTGTGACCTCTCGGTCACGGTGCCCTCTGCTTTCTCTGCTGTCCCCTTTTCCTTCCTTGCAGATCACCCGCAGTCCGTCGGGAAGCACCGTAGGAGCATGCTGGGCTGTCCCCCTCTTGAATGGCATTCCCCCTGCCTCGAACATCCATGGGGGGTTCCTTCCAGCTTTTCTCTTTTCCATGTGGTTGCACAGTGATTGTTTTCTAGTTTTTGCCCTCTGGTCATCCCTCGGTAGTTTAGAAGCAAGAGACCTACTATTTATTTTTTGTTTATATGTTTCCTAGTGGTTTAATTACTGCATTTAATTATTTTTATGCTCACACTGTCATCTCTTGCCAAAAACTGAAGGTTTATAGTAAAACACTGTGTTCATAAATTACTTGAATTAGTTCTCCCAAAAGTAAAACAACTATGTTAAGTCGAATACTCAGATGTTGCTATTTTCTGTATACCCTCCCCCACACCCCAATCCCGGTAGCTAACCAAGGTCATTGTTTTCATTATTTTCTGGTTTCTCCTTCCTGTGTTTCTTACTGCAATGACAAGATTACATATTTATTTCTCATTTTCCCTTCTCTTCTACCCTGAAGACGGTACACTGTGTATACTATAAATGTTCGTGCTTTTTGTACTTCACAATATCTTGTAGAAGTCACTCTAGACCAGTTGGTAGAGATCTTCTGCACATCGATTAGTTTGTCTTAAGCTGCATAGCACTCCGTTGTACGTAGGGTGTGCAGGCACCGTTTTTTCAGTCTCCTGTGTTTGGACGTTCAGGTAGTGTCCAGTATTCTGTACGATTTGTTGTAACAAATGGTCTTGTTCCAACAACCTGTGTGTATGTATTTTAATATTGCTGAGGTAGTATGGCTGAAGGGTAAGTGCATGTCACCTGTTCCCGAACTCCCAAATTCCTGAATTCCCTTCTATCGGGGTTGTGTCTTTGGAGTTGAACCTTCATTTTTTCTTTTTACTCATTTCCACCTGCAATGTATGAGAATGATTATGACTTCATAGAGCGTATTGACAAGCATTTGAACTTTTGTTAATCTGATGAGTGAGAAATAGTATCTTGGTGAATTTTTTGTTTGCATTTATCATGTATGTAAAATTGAACATCTTTTAATGTGTCTAAGGACCATGTTTATACCTTTTGCAAATTGTCTGTTCATGTCGTTTGCCCATTTTTCTAGGGGATATTTGGTCACCTTTTCTTCAGTTTTAAAGAGTTGTTCATCAGTTAGGAATATTAACCCTTAGTCTGTGATATACATCATGAATATTTTATTCCAGTTTGCCACATACCTTTTAATTTTGCTTATGTTGCTTTTTGTCATGCAAGTGTCAAATTTTTATGTAGACAGATTTGTCGACTGTATCTGCTTCTGGGTGTGAGTTGCAGTTCGAAAGTCTTTTCCTACATGGAGACCAACAGGGAATGCACACATTTTCTCCTGCTACTGTATAGTTTTATTTTTTACAATTAGATCTCTCATGCTTTTGGAGTTCATTTTTGTGTAAGGCATGAGGAACAAATCTAATTTTTTGTTTTTCCAGGTAGCTATTCTGTTCTCCTAATACTTTGGTTAAAAAGACTCTTTGCCCAGGGGTTTGAGATGCCGCCCTCATCATATCTGTAGATACAGTTGGGTCTCTTTCTGGACTGTTCATTGTTTTTCATTGGTCTGTTCCTGTGCTAGTACCACACCGTTTTGATTTTAGAGGCTCCGTAGTTTGTTTTAATATCTGACCAGGCTTAGTCCCTACTCATAGCCTTCCTTTCAGTACTTTTCTAGCTATTCTTATGTGGGTTTTTTTCTGTAGGAGAATTTTAGAGTCAACTCAGGTATAAAAAAGCTTAATGGTATTTTTTTGTTGTTGGGATCACATTAAATTTGTAAACAAATATAATTAAAGTAACTCTGGCAAAAATATGTCAGTAACTGGTTCCTCTGTAGTGACTGATTTAAATAAGTTATATTAAGTTTTCTAATTTATCAACTTATTTTTATTTGAGACACATGTTCATATATCTGTGAAATAATATAAAGAAGTTAAGTACTGACTGGTGTTCAATTTTTATTTTAGATTTCCATGGTGTCAATAATTCATATTCCTGACAAAACTTATAAACTATCCTGTAGAATATTATATCAATATTTACTCCTGCCTCAAGGTCAATTTTATGATCTCAAGGTAAGTTGGACCCTGCAGTCTTATCTTTGTCTCTTTTGTTTGCAGTTTCATAGAATGACCATGTATAAAGGGATAGTATTTTTCAGTCAGTTACCACAGAAGTTAGCTATGATTCGCTGTTGGATTTGCCAGCTCATAAATGTTAAGCAGCTCTTATGACCCCCCGGGGTTAAAGAGTAATTGTCATTTGTAATTATCTTTAAATTTGTTTCTTTGATTTTTCAGCAACTTTTCATGTCTGCAAATAACAATCCCACCCTTTCCAGCAATTCTACCCCTGAAGAAGAAAGCACAGACCACAGTTTGCTGGAGAAGGCTGGCCTCTCTGAAAGCGAGGCAGCCGCCGCGGAGGCCGCCCCGGAGAGCAGCAAGGACTGCGTGGTGTGCCAGAACGGGGCGGTGAACTGGGTGCTGCTGCCCTGCAGGCACACGTGCCTGTGTGACGGCTGCGTGAGGCACTTTCAGCGGTGCCCCATGTGCAGGCAGTTCGTTCAGGAATCTTTTGCGCTTTGCAGTCGCAAGGAGCCAGATAAAGACAAACCGAAAACTCTTTGAAGATATCATTGACGCCGAAGATGTAATTTCCACGAAGGATGCAGAAATTTGTGTTCTTGGAATCTATCATAACGTGGAGTCTACAGTGTTGACTGTCTGTGAAAATTCTATTTTAACTTCCTATTTGTGCGGTACCTGGATGATGAAATTTAATTATTCCTTCCTATTCCATATGGTAACTACTGGAATACCATCTGTGTTAATATATAAAAATGCATTCAGCTCTTGAGAAGACTATAAATGTTTGGCCTTTTATCATCTAGTATCAGTTAGAAAAATTCCAAAAAGCAATCCATCTGAAATTTGAGGAAGCAAAAGTCTGAAGATTTCTGAATGTATTTCCTTCGCCATAGTGCAACTGGGAAAAACCGAATTCTTCTTAAAGTACTTGCATGTTCCGTAGCTCACACGGGAGCTGGAAGGGGCTTCCAACTGTATGTCCTTCCCCGAAATACCAGTTTTTACAAATATCCACATGTTTGTTTTCTAATTTTCCTTATAATCATAGTCATATAATACACACATGTTAATTTTTAAACATAGGTTCTTAAATTATACATGCAAGGTACAGTTCTGGATTGTCCTTAGTTTACCATAGATTTGAATGACACTCATTTATAGGAAGCAGGCATATAAGACAAGAATAATAAAATGTCTTGGATAATTAAATTCACTGCCACATGTGGTTAGATTAACAGACTGTGATCTTCCAGGGAAGATAGATCTTAACAACTCACCTTAGACCCCCCTGCACAGCACGTCCCCCCAGAACCGAGGGACTGAGAGCCAGAAAAATCACTAAAAGAAACAAATGACTATTTTTTATCGTGTGTTTTTATTCTAAATAAACCCCATATTCTTCTGAATGGTAAATTACTGTGTTCCTTCCTCATGATATCCTCATGAGAGTTAAGGACCTGAGGGGCGACAAGGCCACATCCCCCACTCTTTCCAAGATGACAAAGAAGAGAAAGGTGACTCAGAGCATCCTGTGTCTTCAGTGGGAATTGCCTTCCATCACACAAATTAGATCATAGCAAATTGTGACATTCAGGGAGATTTTCCAGCTTCTTTTCTCCCGCTTGTATTAAGAATAATGTTTTATCTTTGTATCAGTGTTTTTACATAATACCATTTCATTCTAATTAAATACAGCACTCTCAAAAAAGCATTATCTGTTCTTCCACTAACCAAATCAGACTTTTATCTACTTGCGGTAGCTATGTAAGAAATACCTTCTAGGCACCAAATAACTTGTGGGGATCTGGGTTACAAAGCATCAGAATAGGCTCCTGACCTCCCAGTATTTGTGCCTAAAAGGAGCCTTAGCAGCTTATCTGAGGCGCAGCCCCACCTCAGACTTTCTGAAGGCCATCTTCCAGCCTTGTGCTAGAAGCAGGGCAGTCAGAAGCTGCTGTCCCCACTGCAGTTAGCTGCCATTCTGACTGTCCACCCGAGGACCTCCCTCTGTGGTGCAGAGCGGAGAAGGTCGGAGATTGTTTCCCCATTCCAGCCACCCAGCTTCCCTTGCCGGTCTGCTCGCACCTAAACTGTCCTGGACACATTCTCTGTTCCACCTGCAGTCTTACTCCAGTTTTCATAACTTGTTTAATTGTAGTAAAAAATGCATGACATAAAATTTACTCCTTTAACCATTTTTAAGTGTACAGTTCAGTAGCATTAAGTACATTCACATTGTTGTACAACCATCACCAGTATCCATCTTCAGAATTTTTTAATCAACGTAAACCGAAACTCTATACCCATCAAACAACAACTCCCCATTATTCATTCAGCCCCTAGTAACCACCATCATACTTTCTGTGTTTGTGAACTTGACCGTTCTACGTACCTCATTTACATGGAGTCATATAGTATTTGTCCTTTGTGTCAGGCTTATTTCACTGAGTATAATGTTTTCAAGGTTTGTGCTGTGGTGTGTATCAGAATTTCCTTCCGTTTTGAGGCTGAATAACTCCGTTGCATGCACACACCACGCTCTGTTTGCCTGCTCGCAATCCTGCAGGATGATTCGCCCTTAGCTCCTCGTGCCGCAGTTGGAGTAGTTGTTTGTAGTTTTTTTTTCTGCCCTCAGTGATAATATGAGGAATTTGGTAGGTAATCAAGTAAAAACAAGTAAACGGACTCTTAGAGGCTTATGTCAGAATTTTCGATAAGCATCGAATAGTGATGTTTTCATTTGAATGGATTATTAGATAAAATATTTGGTTTATGTAGATTAATTGCTACTTTCCAACAATCCAAGTAGGGATGTCAAATAAACGGGAATACAGTAATCAGAAGTTCTGGAAGAGGGCTGGCTGGAGTTACAAATTTGGGGTCATCAATGTGGTATTTAAAGCCATGAGTCTGTGTGAGATCACCCAGGCAGTGACCACCCAGAAGTGGCCCTCAGACTGAGGGGAGACTCCCAACATTCAGGGAGATTCGAGAGAATCCAACAGACCAAGAAGACTGAGGCAGGAAGGAAACCCAAAGTGTGGTCTTCCCGTACCATGCCGACACAGAGTGGTATGAAATACCACCGTTTTATTATGCCTACAGGCCCTGGGGTAGGCAAAGGGACAGGACACGGCAGGTCTGAGCCTTACCTGGGGCCTTAGCTGGGAAGACTTGAATTACTGGAATTGACTCCAAGGCCAGAGGGCTAAAATCATATGGGAGCTTCTTCACTCAGATTTGGTGCGTGAGCTGTAATGGCTTAAAAGCTGGGCTGAGCTAGGACAATGTGGCTGCTGCGTGTGGCTTGGTCTTCGTCGCAGCCTGGTGGTCTCAGGAAACCAGGTTCTTAAATGCAGGCTCAGGATTCCAAGAGCAAGAGTCTCAGGATTCTAGTGAACAAGGCAAAATCTGCATGGCCTTTTTTGTTTTGTCTTTTTTTCTCTTAACAGCTTAATGGACGTACAGTTTATATACCATACAGTTTCCCATTCAAAATGCACTTTCAATAGTTTTAGTGTGCTCAGAGTTTTTCAACCACCACTACAGTCCATTTCAGAATTGACTTCAGAATATTTCACTTACCCCTGAAGAGACACTTGGTGCACATTAGCAGTTACTCCCAGTCTGCACCATATTCCCCCAGCCTTAGGCAACCACGGGTCTACTTTGTCTCTGCAGGTCTGCCTGTGCCGGACAGTTCATGGGATGAAATCACATGCAGAATCCCAAACGGAGTCACACAATATGTGGCCTTTAGTGACTGACCACAAATACCACTAAGCATAATGTTCTTAAGGTTCATCCATGTTTAAGCATGAAGCAATATTTCTTTTTATTGCCAAATAATATATCGTGTATTCACCATTCATCAGTTAATGGACATTTGGATTTGTCTGCTTTTTCATCATAGGAATAATGCTGCTGTGGACGTCGGTTATAAGAGTTTCGGTTTTAGACATTTTTGAGATGTGATGTTAAGCCTACCTTGTTTGTCTTATTTAGTTAGTTGAACCTCCTGGCCTTTAATCTCGTCTGTCTTTTTCAGAGCTAGGTCCTACAGAAATTCTGCAGATCTGTACCAGGCACAGGACTGAGTCGGTCAGGTTAGGAGGAGGAGCACTAGCTGACATACACTTTCTAAGCTCTAAATGCTTTGTATTCATTCCGTTAATTAAGCTAGTATCTTTCCACTCCAAACCTGCCCTTCTACACTCTGCTTTGTGATGCTGGGTTAGTACTCTGCAAACCACACCTGCGCTCTGCCGGCTGACTCCCTGTGAGGCTTTGCAAATCAGAGCAGCAGAAGGAGATAGAAATATAGGAGGAAGGAGGATTTGCTCCTTCCTGTCTCCTGTGGCTTTTCAGTTCCTGTGAACATCACCCAACCTCGCTTCTTTCCCTTGGCAGTGGCCGTTGTGCCCAGGAACAGCAGGTGAATCCAGATCGCAGCCTGCTTCCTCACCCCCCCAACGCCAGGAGGCCAGCCCCAGCCCAGCGGCACCCTGCCCTCAGAGGTCTGAGTGTTTCAGCTCTGTGGGGCCCCTCTTCCAAAATTGTAAATTTTTATAATTTCAACTCCTTCACTTGGTTTCCCCAGCCCTTTGGATGATAGTTGCTTTCTGCATTGCTACCTCTGAGATGCCCTCAAGTTCCTCTTAACTCATCACAGATAACAATGCTTTATCTTAATATCTCTGATACAATATGTGTTATCTTTTTAGTCTCCTGGCTACCCTAAATTGATATGATTAGATAGTGTATTCTATCATCCTGGCTCAATTTACTAAGGTAGACAAAAAACTGAGACCAATTGAGGTTAAATAGCCCATATTAGACAGCTACTAAGAAAGTAGAACTGGGATTTGAATCCAATTTTGCTTTGTTTTGTTTTGCCTGAAGCTTGCGCTCTTCTTAATCACTGGTCACCTTCCTACAGAAGAACACATGATTTTCAACATCGAGCTTTGGGTACAATTGAAAATCCTTTCACCATTTGTATGGCTCCTGTGGAGCCCATTGTCAGACCCAGCACTTCCCCCAGGAGCAGCCTTGGAACTCCAGGACCTGTTGAGAGCTGCCGTACACTGTTCTCTCCAGAAGAGGCACAATGAGTATTAGCATCATAAAGGCTCTGAGAGATTTTGCAATAAAATTTAAATACGTAACCAGACAGCTTCTCATGAATTTTTGACTGGGAACATTCCAAGGATGTGTAAAACACAGGATTAATCCATTTCTAATCTAACGTGCCTTGTGCAACAGCGGTGCCTGGTGAGGGTATAAATGTTAGTGCCAGCAGTTGTGGGACACTCCTGTAGTACAGAGATGGCTTTGAACAATATTGCGGAAGGCGATGCTGACCTTGGTTAAGTTACTGAAATATTAGATCGGTACGTTTAAAAATTTCAATTGTGTAAACCTGTGGACACATTTCAGTTGCACTTTCAGTCGAAAAAGATATTGGTAATTCTTGAATCAAGAACCAAGATCAGAATAGAGATCTGATGTCTTCTAGAACAAGTAAGTCAGTTACACTTTCTCCTCTCATGCCGATCTGGGACAAGGCACCCCTCCAAGTTACCCCTAAAGTACCACCGTTGTGATCCCGACTCCCATACATCCTGTAACTAGAGGTCGTTTTGCAATGCTTGCATCTAACCTTCCCTGGACTTATTTGAAATTTTATCTATGACACCTTATAAGATATTTTACTGTAAAAAAACTATAATTACTACTTCACACATTTATTTATTTTTAAGATGTGTGAATCCATCTGCATTTGTGTTTGAAATTGTGGTTCATTTGCTTGTGTTTATATTATATTTAAATAACTGTACCAGTTAATTGGTTTGGATGCTACTGTTTAGAAATCAGTTAGAAACACAGTGTCCCCAACTAAGTGTTCTAAAAACTAGTTAACCCTTCTTACCTAACACCAGTCTAGAGAAAGCTGTCTCAGAAGTTTTCTTCATGGAATATTCATCCTCAAAAAAGGAAGGAAACTTCAGTATCTGCCACAACATGGTTGAACCTTGAAAACATTCAAGGTGAGTGAAAGAAGCCAAGCCTGGAAGGACAGTAGTGTATGACTCCACACAGATCAGGTGCTGAGAATAGGCGAATCCTAGGGACAGAGTAGAAGAGTGGTTAGCAGGGACTGAGGGGCTGGGAAAACAGGGAGCTGCTGTTCGGTGGGTACCAAGTTTCGGTGTGGGGATGATGAAAATGTCCGGACATGGTGAGTGTTCACAGCTGCACAAACGACTTAATACCACTTAAGTGATATTCCGTATACTTGAGAATGGTTTCACACTTAAGAATGGTTAAAGGGTACATTTAATATTAATTGTCTATATCTTACCACATCTAAAAAAACATTCTTTTCATGGACTCAACACCTTTG